GAGCCGAAGGCGAGCGGCTATAGGCAGCGATAAAGCCCAATCACGAGGTTTATAAATGACTTCTAAAATTCACCTTTTATTTTGGGTCCCAATGAAATTACCAAGTCATTAAACGGAGTTTTCAAATGGAAATTTGAACATATTTGACTTGTGTCGTTAATGAGTCGGTTTCGAAGCGCTCGAAGTGCTGAAGAGGAGCAAACGTTGCTCCAAAGAGCGATGCCGCAAAGTGCAAGATACGTGACAAAGTGGGCTTTGACGATTTTTGATTCCTGGAGAGCTCGGCTAGAAGGTTAAACAAGTGAAGATCGACGATGCTGCATGGTCATGAAACTGATGATATTGGCACAATCCAGACATTAACTACATCGCTGGCAGAGATGAATGAAGCGTCTTTAGCATTTTAGTTAAGCAAGTTTGTTGGGTTTAAAGTGGTGTGTAATCAAAACGAAAGGGTTGTTAATCCCGTGTTTAACAATTGTAACATGCATTACCTTTAACTTTGGAAAATAAAGTATTTATTGATTTCTCGAATATTTGAGTTTTTATTAGGAACAGATTAATAAACATTTTGTTAAAGAATGCTTTATAAAGGTACATGTACCTTTATCATAAAGGTACATGTAGTCTATATATGAATTTTAAATCAGCACACACCGATCTATATCACGGTATATAAGGGTCATCATGTGACGAGATTTTAAGAAATTCATTGGCTAATTAGCTCATGAATTATTCATGAATTTTAGAAATATATATATATATATATATATATATATATATATATATATATATATATATATATATATATATATATATATATATATATATATATATATATATATATATATATATATATATATATATAGGCCTATGTCTGCAGTGTTCTGTTTATTATATAGTCCCAAGCATTGAATAAATGCTAAAAGTCACGTGATCGATATCTTCACTAGTGAAGATATGGAAAATATCTGACTGTGTATTTTTCAGTATCTCACTCTCTACTAGAGGTGTGCAAATCCGATTCGAATTCGATCGATCGGACTTCGGAACAAAAATATTCATTTCGGATTGGATCGGATTGAAAAGTTGTTTCGTAGTCGGATCGGACTTCGATATTCGAAATAAAATGAATTAATTATCCATGACAGCGCGGTTGTCGCTGCATTGTTCGTTTGATAATTCAATTGGACGTCACTTTGTCAGCTTCTTGACATGTATTTCTTGCTTTTATATTTACTTGATTAAATATTTCCACTTGAATGAGAAATTTATTTTATTACCTTTAATAAGTCGGATCGGATCGTAGTCGGATCGGATCGGAATTCTTTATCAAAACTCGGATCGGACTTGGATTAGATAATTTCGGATCAGATCGCTTCGGATTTTAAACATAATAATAATAATAATAATTTATTAATTTATAAAGCGCTAAAACTATAAATATTCTAAAGCGCTCTCATTACAAATTCAAATAAAATGTTATAAAGTATGAGATGATACCTATATATACATGTTTAAAATTTACTATTATATTTAAAGATAAAATGCCTTTTTTAAAAAGAAAGGTCTTAAGTCTGTTTTTAAAAGTTTCCACTGTTGACGCCTCACGAATGTCAGCGAGAAGTTCAAATTTACTATTATATTTAAAGATAAAATGCCTTTCTAAAAAGAAAGGTCTTAAGTCTGCTTTTAAAACTTTCCACTGTTGACGCTTCACGAATGTCAGCGGGAAGTTCATTCCACAAAAATGGACCAGCCTTGGCAAAAGCTCTGTCGCCAAACGTTTTCCTCATTGTCTTAGGAACTATTAGCAAATTTTGCTCATTCGAGCGCAGGCTGTAGCAACCAATATGCTTAGGTGTCAGAAGGTCTGAGATATAAGGCGGTGCATTAGAATGAAGAGCCTTGTACACCAGCAACAAAATCTTGAAAATCACCCGATATCGTACAGGAAGCCAATGAAGGCCAATCAAAGCGGGAGTAATATGATCGAATTTGGGGATTAAACAGACCACACGTGCTGCAGCATTGAGAACTCTTTGTAACCTATCATATTGAGACTGTGGCAGACCATAAAACAATGAGTTACAGTAGTCCAGGTGGGAAGTAACAAAAGCATGAACCAAAATCTTTGTTGTATCTTCTGAAAGGAATTTCCTTATCTGCCGGATATTATAGAGGCTGCGAAACGCCTTACTACACACTTTTCCGATGTGAATATCCATCGACATATGTGAGTCAAACCACATTCCGAGGCTTTGAACCACCTCCACAGCCTCGATCGTAGATTCACCAACTGTAATTTCATTGATGTTAATCTTTGACATTTGCTGCTTTGAACCGATGATAATAAATTCAGTCTTGGAATCATTTATCAAGAGACGGTTAGAAAGCATCCAGGCACGAATGTCAGCAACACAGTTTTCAATACTCTTTAGTGCAGCATCTTGCGATAAAGATGTATCCGGCCGAAACGAATGATAAATCTGGGTGTCATCTGCATACGTATGTGCATTGGGAAGATGTTTGTCAATAACCTTAAATAACCCAGCCACATAGAGTATGAAGAGGACAGGGCCAAGGCAGCTACCCTGCGGAACTCCCGATTGAAGATTGAAAACTTCCGATTCATGGTTTTTAATTAAAATTGTTTGTTTTCTCTCGGATAAATAAGATGTTAGCCATTTGAGGGCATTTCCAGTTACGCCAAAGTCTTTTTCAAGTGTCTCCAGTAAGATAGCATGGTCGATAGTATCAAATGCGGCACTTAGGTCGATAAGCACAAGAAGCGTAACCTCCTGCTGATCCATACTAAGGAGAATGTCATTCTGGACTTTTAGTAAAGCTGTTTCTGTTGAGTGATTTTTCCGATACGCTGATTGATACTCGGGAAAAGGGGCATTTTCAGCACAATGTATAGATAACTGAGAGATCGTTGCCTTCTCAGCAGACTTGGCAACAAATGGCAGGTTGCTTATAGGTCTGAAGTTTTCAAACATAAAATCAAGTCCAAATTTCTTCAAAAGAGGTAAAACTAGCGCTATTTTCCAATGATCGGGTACAATTCCTTCAGAAAAAGAGAGATTAATGATTTCAGCGATGATTGGGGCCAATTCATGACAACAGAGTTTAACCAATGATGTAGGAATAGGGTCCAACTTACTGGAAGCATTCGAAGATTCAAGGATAATCCTCCGAATTTCATCCTCAGAAACCGAAGAAAATTCATCCAATTTCACTTCAGGCAGATGAAATGGAACATTAGGTGGGTTAATGGAAATCTCGTCAATCTTTGATTTCACGAGTTCAATTTTCTTACAAAAGAACTCACCAAACTCGTTAGCAAGGATGGAAGGATCGCGATTTTCAGGAAACTCCTCAACTAGACGTTCTTTGCTCAAAGAGTTCACAATTTGGAATAATTTTCTAGAATCACCAGCAGATTTGTCGGTAAGGTTGGAATAAAACATTTTTCTGGTGTCATTCAATATAGCACTGTAGTCATCGCGTACCTTACGATAAGCATTCTTATCACAATCAAGTTTCGATTTAAGCATGATTCTTTCCAGTTTCCTACGTTTAGCTTTTAGCTTCTTTAAACTATCATTAAACCAAGGAACCATTGGTCGAACAGTCATAATTTTCGATTTCAAAGGAGCATGCTTATCGAGAATAGAACGTAGGGTAACATCATAGCATTTTGACATATCATTAACACTTGACCAAGTTTTCTGAAATAGATCTCAGGCGCATATATCAGCTTTAAAGGCATTGAGGTCAATATGTTTAACTTTGCGATAGCAAACTTCTTTAACTAGGATGTTTGGGCGAGGAATATCCAACAAACATTCAACAAAAAAATGATCAGACAAAGCAAACGTCGCCAAAGGAGAGGTGATTGTGACATCATTAATTGATCTAGTGATAATCAAATCAAGGGTATGACCTGATGAATGAGTTGGGCATGAACATGTTGGATAAGTCCAAAAGTATTCATTAAGTCCGCAAACTTTTTCGCGTCTGCTTCGGTTGGACAATCAACGTGAAAATTAAAATCACCTGTAATCAAGAGTACTTCGGGAATCATAACAATGTTCTCCAAGTATGATGAAAACTCTTCGAAAAACACATTTGATGAAACCGGGTGATCTTCCGAGTAGGGAGGTCGATAGATTGTCACCACTTTAATGGTTTGCTTGTGCACACAAACATTCCACTCCGAGAATTCAAACGAATTAAATTCCCCACAGTCACTGGATTTTACATTTAACGATTCTTTGCACAGAATACCCGTGCCGCCACCACTTCTACCGGACTGTCTTGGGAAAGATCTAAACACAAATCCTGCAGTAGATAGTCCAGCAATGCTGACAGAGTCACATTCTTTTAACCACGTTTCAGTGATAGTACATATATCAATACAGCTATCAACCATATGATCAATGATAACGGCGATCTTGTTCCTTACAGAGCGCGAATTAACACAAGCAAATCTGAGACAAGTTAGTTTCTTTGGCATTACGTCAGCATCATTTTGGTTTCTTAACGATTCAGTCAAGGGAATATTAATTAAATTATTATAATTCACACCGGTAAAGTTTACCGTGGTAGAAGTTTCCAATGTTTCGGGACTCAGTAATAAAAGTTGAACCATCCTATTTTGTCTCTCATCGAGAGACCCGTACAAAAACCCTCATTGTTAGTTTTTCTGTGATTGTTATGACTTTTGTTTTTGTCGGATGATCTTGATTGTTTACTCCCCTGTGTAGATACATAACTTTCCACGCTATAAACCGTATTTGAACGGTTGAGCTCTGTTTGTCTCAAGTTAACTTTTTTACGGGTTTGTTTTGATTTCCTAATTGAGGTAATACGAACTGGAATACTTTGTTGTTGATTAGACTCATGTGGATAACAAGGTTCCTTAGGTAAAGAGCCACTCGGTTGATTTCCATTACACGTATTGTGACCAACATTAATGTGGTACGGGTCATTAACGCTAGAAACAATGCTAATTTCGTCAGAGTCATCGACAATAAGGTTACTTATACTCATAACATGCATCTCATTGTTCACATGGGTGGTTTCAGGAGAGGAATAAGGTTACTTATACTCATAACATGCATTTCATTATTCACATGGGTGGTTTTAGGAGAGGAAATATTATTAGCATGGATATT